ATAAAGGCCGAAGGCTGGAGGGGAAGGACAAGGCCTAGTGGGTCACTCCAGGGCTCCCAGGGGTTCTGTAGGGGGCACATAGGATCACACAGAAGCCCTTACCTGAGCGGTGCCAGCCAAAGGTCATGGTTCGGGTGGCTGGGCGAGTGGAGAGCCAGAGGGAAAAGAGACTGCCTGCCATGCTGCCCACATCAGCCAGTAAGTGGACGGCATCGGTCATGATGGCAAGGCTGTGGGCTAAATATCCACCTGTAATACCCCAAGACTAGTGCTAGCTCCTTGATACCATCCTACCCCCAAGTCTGAATTTCATTCCCTGGTTTCCTTCAAGAAGCAGCTCAGATGTCACTTTCAGCAGGAAGCTTTTCCTGGATCCTCCCCCCACTTAGCATACAGTGACTTTTTCCTGCTTTCTATGTGACTTGAATATACCTATATACGTACATATGTATATATGTATCTACACATGTTATCTCCTTTTAGGATGTAAGCTTACCGGCACTTAGTACAGTGCTTGGCACATAGTAAATTCATAAATGCACGTCTGTTGACTGATAAGCCCTCATTACTCTTCCCCTCCCCAGAGTCCCCAAGTGCTCACAGCTCCCCCTTTTCATTCACCAGTCACCTTAACCTCTTCCAGCTATGCCCTTGGCCAAGATTGGAAGGATACAACTGCTGAGAATTTCCCAGGGAAGAGGATTAGGGCTATGGAAGGACCCTTGGGTAGGGGATGGAGTGGGAGTTGCCTGACATACCCACAATCTCCCCTGCCATGAAGAGGAAACAGACAGCACAGGCAGCAGATAGTTGCTTCTGGGCCTGTAGCTGTTCAGGGCTAAGGCCAGACGGAGGGATACAGTCTATGTGGCAGTGACGGAACCCAGGTTGCTCCAGAGGATCTTGTTCTTCTGTGGGGGACTTTGAAGATTCTGTGAAGAGACTGATGCCAGGGAAGCTCTAAGCCAAGCAGCCTAATCAGGCAACCCCTAGACTTTGGGACTGAGGATACCACTCAGCTTTGACTGTCACTGGGAGTGTAGCCCACACTGGACGATTCTCTCAAGCAATATGGATGAGGACATAGTTCATCAGTATCTATCGCTGGGAGCCCAGCCCCAAACAACTTAACACCCCCCTCCAACACACACCAGGAGATTCAGATGCTGTTCTCTCCCACGCCTCAGCTTTTAGCACCAATTGTGGTCCAAGCTCAGTCTATCACTCTGGCCCCTGTGTCTCATAGCCTTTCCATTCCCACTCCCACCAGGATCTAAGAATCAGTCCTTAAACTTCCCAGTCCCTTTTGGTAGGACATTTCTTTGCTTTTGACAAACAGTTAAAGAATGGCCCATTTAAGAAAGGAATGGAATCCTTTCTTAAAGTGAAGCCCAAAGAACCAGTGACAGGGAAGAAAATGGAGGAAAGGGTTCCACAGAAGGGTGGGAGGGGAGAAGAATGTCAGGGGTGAAGAGGACAAATTTCACATTCAGATGTTTGAGGTTTAGATGAATTTTTCAGCCCAATTCTTGTTCTAAAGAGAGTGCTGCATGGACTGAGTTCCAAAAGGGTCTCCCATAGAATCAGAGACCTACTCAGTAATTGCACCAAATGATGATAATTATGCACAGACTGCATTCAAGTACATTCTGTGTAGAAGCACACACTGAGATGTAAGGCCATTCAACACACACACACACACACACACACACACACACACACACTGATATGGATATCTTCCTAGGGCCTCTCTTTTGTTTTATCAAATATGAGGAGTGGATTTGTGTTCATTTTTCAGGAGCAAGATCGAGATGTTTCAATTCTGCTCTGGGGAGGGAAGGACACTTTTCCAGGTGTCTCTTAAACCCCAACCCCCTTCCCTAGAAAGAGGAACTTGAAGAGGAGGGGGATGTAAGAGGGACCATTTGGGCATAGAGGAGAGAGGAAGGCAGTGTCAAAAGAATCCCACCCAGAACTTCAGGGACCAGAGGCCCTAAATCTATCTGTATATTCACTCTTTTGTAAGTCTTTTCCTCTCCCCTCATATGGGGTCGTCCTATTCCATCGTCCTAGGCCTTCCTACACATAGTTTTTAAATTCTGTAAGGAGAAGAGTGAGGAATACAGGAAAGACAAAGAAAAAGGGACAAATGGGGAGGGAGATACAGAAAGATTGAGAGGCTTAGCCAGAAAGATAGAGACTAAGGAGAAAATCCAGAGAAAGACAGACGGCCCGAGGACCGCGAGCAACAGACAGCTAAGTAGAGAGACAAGGCACGCACGCACAGTCTGGCCAGGGTGCAGAGAGAGGGAAGGCAAGATTGAGGGAGTGGGTGGGAAGGGTATAGCAGGATGGGCTGAGGGGGGATTAAATAGGAAAGCCAACCGAGGCTGTGGGGGCGGTTCTCCCGCCCCCAACCCCTCTGTCCCTGGCGGCTTCGTGGCTCATTTCACACCTCGCCGCCCCCGGAACCACGTCTGTGCTGAGCCGGGAATACCCCCCACCGCCCAAACCGCACCTGCTCCTTTCCTCCCCCCTTCCTTGCTTTCCCCGACACTAGCTTTGATCCTTGTGTCGCCCCCCCCCAGAAGACCCACCTCCGGTGACCGACCTCAGAGCTCGCCTTCCTCACAGACTGTCAGGTGCCAAGGCCTGAATCCCCACTACCCCTGTGGACGCAGCTGGAATGAAGCCCCCCTGCCTTCGCCTCACAGAAGAGAAGAATCAGGACTGGGGATCCAGGGGAATGGGATCAGAAAGCAGAGGATGTTGGAATCGGGAGCCTCGGGATCTGGGGCACCCAGAACGGTTCGGAAGGAGTGCCGCCTGCCAGGAATGTGCCCCTCTCTTCCTCCAGTGGACAAATTTGCGGGCAACTGGGATCCCAGTCCTGTTGGCCTAATGCGGTCTGCTTCTCCCCAGTCACTGAGTGCTCAGGAGGTCAGCCCCGGGTGGGGAGCCATGGGGAAAGGCATGGGGTGAGGGGCTAATGATTGGGGGGGAATGAGGAAATGAAGGGGGGATAATGCGGACAGAGGGGAGGGCAGCCTGCAAGAGCAGAGTCTGAGGCCGTCCCTGCGGCAGCTGCAGACCAGGTGGCCGAGAAAAAGGGGACAGCAATAGGGAAATGAGGGGCCACTGAGATACAGGAGCTGAGGGGATAGAGGTGCAGGAGAGCGGTGCAGGAGAGCAGAGGAAGCCCAAGGAACTCGAAGGGACAAACAAGGAAGCAGAAGTCCTCCCAGGGGTAAACTGGAGGAGGGTGACAGGCCATGGGACAGGAGAGCAGATGAATCGGAAGGTCGAGGCACAGAAGGTGGGACTATGAGACAGTAGAGAGACTCTGGGTGAGCGGGATAGGAAAGGAGAAAAGGGGACAACGAAAGTGGGGGAAGCAAGATAGACAGAGGGAAGCTGGATGAAGCGTCAGGGGGCTAAGAGGGGGCTAAGAGGGAGGAATTGGGCTCTAACCTCTTGAGACGAAGGCTGCTGGCGCAGCTGTGAGCCCGGGGGTTCACCAAGCGAGTTGTCTCTGAGTCTCCCGCGGCTACTGGATGAGGCTCCATCCTGGGTCCACACGGACCGTCAGTCCGGGTCCCTTGGAGAGAGGAAGAAGCCGGCCCTTCACCGAGCCAGCAGTCCCCAGGCGGGGATCAGTTGGGATCAGGACACCGAACCCCCAGAGGGGCTCCTCAGAGCAGCGGGGACAGTAGAGACTGTGAGAACTGCGGCGGCGACAGTGGTGACAGGCTGCCGGACTGCAGAGCCCCCAGCCACCAGAGCCCCGCCCCACCCCGCAATCTTGGGGACTCTGCCTCTCTCTACTAGGGCCCCGCCCCTCAGCGCGAGCCCCGCCCCCAGCTTCAGGTCCCACCTCCCCCCCACGAGGCCCCGCCCCCAGCTCGCCACCTGGAGACCATGGCCTTAGAACAAGAGCGGAGTGTTGGGTACTGAGTCCCCCAGCCTCCAGGAATGTGAGCTCGGGAACCCCCAACCTTCTGAAATCTTTAACCCCTATCAAGCAGGCGGCGGCCCATCGGTTCTTCTGGGAGGCAAGGACTGATATCACACATCCATTCAAGAGCCCTTCTTAAACCTCTGACTGAAGGCCATTACAGGGAGGGGATTAATCAACCAGAGGCGCACTAGAATCTCTAAGAGGCAGTCAGGGTAGGGCGACGGAAACGGTTCTGGACGAGTCCTGATTTCGATACTTCGCGCCCCGTGGGTAAGTTACTGAGTCTCGGTTTCTTCATTTTGGGAAATGAGAATAATGCTCTTATACCTACTCCACCGGGGCTGAAAACACTTTGTAAGCATTATAGAAACACGAGCCTTTTGTTACTATGACTCTGGGTAGGGAAGATTGTGGTGGGTGGGAAGGAGAGGGGAGAGGATAAAGAGAGAACCTCAGATGTAAGTCCAACAGGAAGACTTTGAATCAGCGGTAGGGAGTGGGGAAGTGAAGCCTGAGGGCAGAGTAGAATGGAGGGGTTGCCAGGAGCCGAGACTTTAGATACGTCTATGCAAGTATCCTAAAGAAGGCTCCGAGGGTCTGGGCTTGTAGGGTGATAGAGGGGAAAGTGAGTACTAGGGAGCAGAGAATACAGAGAGCAGGCTATGGGCTGGGCTAGGAGAGAGGAAACAATAAGGCAGTTAAGCTAACAACATTTTAGAGAGTGGGGCCCACAGGGTCTGGAGCACTATGAGAAGATACATTAAATATTAATGGATATTTTGGGGATTGTGGATCTCTGATTTCACCGGTGTAGGGAACTCCAGACAAGTAAACTCTTTCTACCAGTGCAAATAGGCATCTTCTTTGCAACTTAAGGTCTCAGAGTTGGCTAGAGAACTAAGACAGTGATTTGCCCAAGGGTCATATAGCTAGTAGTGGTCGGAGGCAGAACTCTTCCTAAGTCTTCCTGATTACAAGGCTGGTTCTCTTGTCACCATGACGAAGCTGCCCTCTCTTTTATTATTTATGACAAATAGTGATCGTCATTATCATAGGTATATAGTCAGGGTTTAATAAATGTTTCTTGACTGATTGCATGATCATGGGCAAGTCTGTTAGCCTTTCAGTGCCCCCGACCGCATTTTTAGACTTAATTTTTTTTTTATTGATCTGTTGGTTTTCATCACCTACAGCTATAGCCAATAAACATTTATTAAGTGCCTTCTATGTGCCAGGCACTGTGCTAAGCGCTGGAGATACAAATATGAAAAAGAAAGACCTCAGTTTACAGTCTAAGGGGGAAAACAATATACAAAAGAAAGCGAAGGGGGGGGTGTGGCATACTTGGTATAGGGGTCTACAATTATTTAAAATTTTTTTTATTCTGAACTTAACACATAGCAAACAAAATGAGCGCGTGCGCGCACACACAGGAAAAGAGAAAAGATAAACTGTGTAAATCTCTTATGTACAGCATGCTTTTCTTTTAAAATATAAAATAAATACATATAACTTTCAATCCTGATCGTCTTTGATTCTTTTTGACTTTCTATTCTCTTCTGTGCATTTTTTAAAAAGTGCTTCAATGACGTTTTCTTTTCTTTCCTTTTTTAGAGGCTTCCTCTCCCCACTAAGAAAAGGGAAAAAAAAGGTTTTTTATGATGTTGTTATTATCTAACTTGTTCTCCTAGTTCTGATCGCTTCACTCTCAGTTCAAACAAGTCTTCCCCAATTTCTCTGAAACCATCCCTTTTTTCATTTTTTTTAAAATGGGGCAATACTATTCCATTACATTCATATGACTTAATTTGTTCTGCCATTCCCCAAATGATGGACACTCTTCAGTTTCTGGTTCTTTGCTTTACAATTAAGAGTTATTAATAAGTATTTTTGTACTTTTCCTTTATCTCTTTGGGGTATGGGTCTAATGATGGTATTGATGGATCAAAATGTAAATACAATTTAGTGATTTTGGAGGCATAGCTCAAAACTACTTTACAGAATGACTAGATTGCAATTTACAGCTCCACCAATAGAAAATCAATATGCCTGTTTTTCCTAGCACCTCCAGCAATTGTCATTTTCCATTTTTGTCATTTTCGCCATTTTTGCCAATCCCATCAGAGTATCACCTACATTTCCCAATTAGCCCTCCCCTCTCTGTGTCTTCTTAAGTTACAGACAGGTTGCTGGTCTGCAATGGAGACCGTTTCAATATTAGGAGTCTCTCTCTCTCACTCTCTCTCTCTCACTCTCTCTCTCTCTCTCTCTCTCTCTCTCTCTCTCTCTCTCTCTCTCTCTCTCTCTCTCTCTCTCACACACACACACACACACACACACACACACACACACACACCTCTTTCAGCAAATGAAATAGTACAACTAGATTCCTAAAACAATACCTTACTTTTTGCATAACTTTTTCCTGTTTACAAAGCACTTCCACATCCTATCTCCCAAATGATTCCCACAATCATTCTGTGAGGTTAGACTGGGATAGGGCTATGAAGAGGTGTGGTGGGTAATAAGACATTAGAACCTTAGAGGATGGCATGCGTCCAGGCTTAGAAGTTGGGAATGGGCAGATCATTTTAAAATATAAATTGGAAGCTGGGCATAATTAACAAGAAGAAGTGAAAGTGTCATTTCCCTAACTCTTCCTTCATCTAGTCTTCCCCTTCCCACGATCTTCCATATCATCCTCTCTTCACCTTTGCTCATATGACTCCCTCCTTGTCTTCCCCTACTCCTTTCCATCTTTCAAGGTCAAGTCAAATCTCTCCTTCATGAGGCCAGAGGCAGCTTGGTGCTTTGGAAAAAGCCAGGATCTGGAATCGGGAGCAGGCTTTCTATCTGCCACCTGACCTTAGGGAAAATTACTTTGTCTCAGTTCCCCCATCTATAAAAGAGGAAATGACAGTATATAGGTAAGTACTACTATTGTCCCAAATTGTTTTGAGGACCAAATAAGATCAATCAATCAACATTCACTTAATCAACACTTCACAACAATTAATAATAATAACAAATAACAAATAATAAAAGGACAAAAAATGGAAGTCTCTGGCCTCAAAGAATTTACATTCTATGGGGCTGAGGAGATAATATGTGTTTGTGTGTGTGTGTGTGTGTGTGTGTGTGTGTACATACATATATAATAAAAAGTAATTTAAGGGCAAAAGCATTAGAAGGGGGGGTCAAGAAAGTTTTCGAGAGGATGTATGTGGTAGGTAGCCTATAAACTATTATATCAATGTCAGCTCTTGTCAATATTATTTCCTGACCACCCCAGAGCACTATGGTCTTTTCCTACCCCCTTCCTCCTGGGGATCCTTACCATGTATCAAGTCTTTTTCCTCTCCTTCTTTGAAACATCTGTGATATTGAAGGTTTAGAGGGTGCCCTCCTTCAAGGCAATCCTTCCAAAACTTAGATGGTACATTTTAGAGAGTTGGTTGAGTCTCAGAGAGGTTATATGACTTGTTCAGGATCACACTACTAGTGTCAGAGGAAGGATCAAAACCAGCTCTTCCTGACACCGTCTTTGTTTCACCCCTTCCACACTGCCTTATCATTCAGTGGTCTAGGTGTTAGTCATTTGCTTGTTGATGAATTTCCTTCGAGCTTGAGAGAGCAGGGAACTAGTACCCAACCCAGTAACAAAAATATAATGGGCTAAAGGTTCCATCCTTTGTTCCAAGGGAAAAAATGAAAGGAAAGCACAGATCAAGTGATGATAATGATGATGATAAATGTTTTCTATTTGGTGCCAAGAGCCCAGCTCCTGGGATCCTATAATTGTATCCAAGGTTAAAATTCTGAGATGGTGTATTCAATCTACTCAGGCTGGTATAGGGCTGTGTAAGTTTGTTGATTCTTTAATACCTTTGTATTGTTAATTTGTTTAAGTTGTTTACGTTTTTTAGTACCTAGCTATTGATACTAGTTGACAAGTTGTTCAAGATTTGAGGTTAATAAACACGTGATACGCTTTGATCCTCATAAACTGGAGAGGTAGTATTATTACCATTTTACAGATAAGAAAGCTGAGATTCAGAGAGGTGAGAGCCAGGCTTCAACTTCCTTGAGGTCTCACAGTTTAGGAACAGAGTTAGGATTAGACCTTAGGTATGTAGATCCAGTGACTGCCACTTGCCATCTTAAACATCAACGTCCAGGGCTTGACTTGCCAGAGTAGCAAATTCAGATCCTGATTGAAAATGGAACAGAAGTTTAGACCTGGAAAAGACTAATTTCATCCATTTAACCCCCCTTATCTTACAGGTGAGGAAGCAAAGACCAATACGAGGCAAGGAGCTTACTGAGATTACACATATATAGCTCATTAGTTTTGCAGTCAAAGCCAAAATCTAGGTCTCCTCCCGAGCCCGGGACTACTTCTAATGCCTATGACATTAGAATGCTACAGGATAGGGGCTCTTGGAATGAAGAGCCTTTTGTCCTCGGTGGTGATAAAGGAACAGAGGGAAGGGGGGTTATGAGATCAAGGAAACTGTGAAGAAAATTCTCTGCTACAGGTCCATAGGATCAAAGAATCTTAGAGGTGGAAGATCCCTTAGAGACCATCTACTTCTCTCCAACCCCTTTATTTTACAGATGAGGAAACCAAGGTTCAGAGAGAAGTGTTGCCCAAGGTCACACATGGAGTAACAGAGCAGAATTCCAACATTATGCCTTGTGACTCTTAATCCAGTGAGGTCTGTGCGTGTATGTATATATAATATATACAAATATGTATGATATATGCACCTACATATATACATATACATACACAAATACACACACACACATATGTTGCAGTTAATAAATGCATGTCGACTGGCTGACTTTCGCCTTTAGGTCAGGATGCCTTCTTTCCAAACACAAGACACCAGTGATGATGAATGACTTTCAATGTCTTCGTAAGCAGCCTCACCACAGCAGCAATGGGGCTAAGACAAAGTGCACTGCCTGCTTCACAGTGGGTGCTGTGACGAAAGCGCTTTGTAAACTGCTAAGCGCCACAGGCATGTGAACTTTTGTTAAGATAAACGGCAACTGAACCGGAGGGACTCACAAAAGGTCCCGGGGAATAAGAGTAGCCCTGGATATCTGGGAGAAAGGCTCCAGGAACACTTCTCCGGCTCCCCACTACCCCGAGGTTTGACTTCTGTGGGAGCTGGGTAGGATCCTAGCTCTGGGGTAGCCACTCCCACGTTCTCAGCCGGCTGCCAGGAAAGGAGGAGGTGTAGATTTGCACCTGAAACACAGCTAGGAAGCTTAGCAAATAGTGTAAGGGGAAGGGTAAAGTAACACGCTGCAGCTTCCTCGCTTCTGCTTCAGTCTGCCGGCTCACTTTTAGCCAAGTAGAATTTGTGACTACTCTGTCCCGCGCCACCCGCCTATCTTGGTTCAAAGTTTACACAACGAGTCCCGTGGTGCTGGATATGAACCTGATATTTCTTTTCTTCCCTCCCGGTCTCCCCTGCTTCCCACAAGCTGTCTCTAGAATGTTTAGGCTTGACCCCTGCTGACACCTGTCTGTCATCCAACATCTTTTATATAATCTTCCTTTAATGCGGTAATCTGAGTAGACAAACCAGCTTGACTAGAGAGCAAAGTTCATGCAATAACAATAACTTGCAGTCACATAGAGTTTTAAGGATTATAAAGGATTTCCCTCACAATAGCTGGAATGGTAAACTTGTGTCAGACTCTGGAGAGCCTTAAATGCCAGACCAAGGAGCTTGGATTCTATAATGTAGTCCCACAGGGAGCTAGGCGACTCAGTGGATAAAGCGACTGGTATGAAGACAGGAGGAACTGAGTTCAAATCTTGTCGCAAACACTAGCTGTATGACACTGAGCAAGTTACTTAATCCTGTTTGCCTCAGTTTCCTCATCTATAAAATGAGCTGGCGAAGGAAATGGCAAACCACTCCAGTATCCTTGCCGAGAAAACCCACGAAGAGTCGGACACGACTTAACAACAACAATCCATAGGGAGAACTAAAATGGAGTTTAAGCATCTCTTGATGAGATCTAATCTCTTGATGAGATTAGTGTCTTAAGATTAATTGGGCAGCACTATCAGTTATGAATCAGAGACAGAGGAAAGACTGGAGTGGAAACAAGAAAAATGGGCAAAAGCAAACAAACAAACGAAGGAAGAATGACAAGAACTAGGCTTCTAAGAATTGGTATAGTGAAGAGAAAAGCATGTGTTCCCTTCCTACTTTGCCGAGGACAGAATGATAGAATTATGGGAAAACACTTTGTCATCTATAAAGCACCATGTGTAAGTGGTACATTGTCATTTATGACTTGAGGTGCAAAAGGAATAAATCCAAAGTTGTTTTGAGCCTGAGTTTGAGGAAACTCCTGTACCATCAACAAACAGGAAGTTAGGAAGGAAAGCCAATTCATAAAGGAAGCTGAGGAAGAGAGGCAAACTTAGAGCATTAGAAGTGTTAGAAACACAGAATGTGCAAGCTGGAAAGAATGTGCAAGCTGGAAGGAATGTTCAAGATCAACTTAGTTCAACACTTCCATTTTACAGATGGAGTTAAGCCAGGAGTTGGGTTCACAGGAGGAAATAGAAGTAAAATGACTTGCCCATAGTAGTGGCAAGAAGTATATGTGACTAAGACCTGGTCTCGAGACTCCCAAGCCCAGTGTTTTTCCTGCTATGCTTCTCATTTGGGTGACACATTTTAATTTTTTGGTTGTTTTTTTTAAAAGGAAAACCCCCACATTTCTCCTTCATAACCAAAATTATTTAAATATGTTAATATGTGTTTGCTTTCTTAACATCAGTATAGAGAGTATGCTTGGAGCCATAGTAGTAGATGAGATCTCTGAGGGGAGTGAGTTGAAAGAGAGAAGAAATGACATCTGAAGATTAAACCTTGGGGAATCCTGTCCTTTAGGAGGTGGAAGAAAAAGAGCCAAATACCGAAGAATGAAGGTTCAACATATGCTGAAATACTCATAGCCAGCACTCCTTTATGGTAAGCAAAGAACTGGAAACAAAGTGGGTGCTCATCAATTGCAAACAGCTGGGGAAAAAAACCCATCATTTAAATGTAATGGAATGTTATTGTTCAGCAAGAATGAAGAATCAGAGGAATTCAGAGAAATGTGGGAAGACTTGTATGAATTAATAATGCAGCCTGAAATTAGCACAGCTAAGAGAATAACATAACAACTACAACAATGCAAAAGATCACTGAAAGGAAACAAATGCTGAATCTTTGGGAAATCAATGAAAGTCACCTAAGAAGATCATGAAACAGACCTGGTCTCCCTCAGGCCAGCGAGGCTGAGAACCAGTAGGAAAAAAAGTATATACATTGACTGATTCAGTCACTGTATCAGATGTTGTTTCTTCTTCTTCTTCTTCTTCTTCTTCTTCTTCTTCTTCTTCTTCTTCTTCTTCTTCTTCTTCTTCTTCTTCTTCTTCTTCTTCTTCTTCTTCTTCTTCTTCTTCTTCTTCTTCTTCTTCTTCTTCTTCTCCTTCTCCTTCTCCTTCTCCTTCTTCTTTTTTAGAGAAAAAGAATTAGGAAAGGATATGCAACAGGTGTTGTCAGAGAGGTGGGAGGAGAGCTGGGAGTGTAATGTCACAGAATTCAAGAAAGAAGGCATCACATTGGTGTGGCCAGATGGTAAGAAAGGACTAGAGGGCCACAAAGACTTCTCCCCCTCTCCAACACCCCCAGGAAGACCCTTCAAGTGACCTATCAGCAAGCACTAATTTAAAGCACTTTGACCATTCTCTCAACTTGTCTGAAAATTTTTAATTGCCTTTGTGGTATTAACTGAAATTCTACCAATTAAAAATTCATTTAGGTTGAGAAGTGACTTTTTCTTTAAAAAAATGTTGGATTGATGCTGTTTATTTATTTATTTGGCACAGTCACTTTCCAATAACTCCATGCTAGAACCCTCCCAGAAAGAAAAATAGTTCAGTGAAATCTACTGCATCTGACAGCAAATATAATATTCTGTTCCTGTAGTCCACCACTTCAATACCAAGAGGAGAGGAGAAGAGCGTGTACAAGTATCTTTTCTGAAAATTCAACCAATAGTATACTCCTAAGGAAAAGGGGAAGTATGGGTTGGATTATATGACTTCCCTTCAGACTCTTAAGATTTAATGAATACAAAGGAGAAGGGATCATTCATACCTTATTGGGAATGGGTGTAGTTTGATCCTTTCACTCTCCTAATATTAGGTCAGATAAATCCCACAGGGGGAATAGGAGTTCAGATGTGGTAGAGGTGAAAGGAGAGGTGCAAATGGTAATGATGCATGAGAAAATGAGGGGAGAGGACAGGTCTTGGGGAAGGTGCTACAATAGGGACCTCTAGGCAAACCAGAAGAGAACCTGGGAAGCAGGAGTAGCGCTGTCAGGAGGCTGGAAGAAGGAACAGAAAAGGTATGAAGGCACTTCTTGGAGGATCAGTCCTGATGCTCCCCTCCTCCCAGATAGCAGATGAGAAACCCTTCCTCCCTTCAGAAAACCAGACCCACGAGAGGGAAGCTCTACAATCCATTGTCATGTCGTAGATAAGTGAAAGGTGGCAGGTAGGGGGGAAAAAAGGTATCATGAGCTGCTTCCTCAAAAGTATGTTTTTCTCTCACAGAGAATCTAGGGCTTCCAAGGGATTGGACAATGGCAAACAGAAACTGTGCACAGAGGAATTTTTGGTCAGAGGCATGCTCAAAACCTGGGTGGGCGGATAGAGAGCTGGTGAGAAAAATCATTACCTGACGTCATCTGGGTCCACTCTTTGGAAAAGGGAAAATGTATGAGTCACTTGTCTGGTGTTTATCCAGGTCTGGTTTCCAGGAATGGATTTTTCCAGGCAAAGCATACATTGCTCTTTCTATACATATAGCCAAGGACTTAATAAATATTTGGTGAATGCATGAATGTGTGAATGAGTGAATATCTATTGTGGCATCTGCATAGAATCAGGCTGCCTGTTCTGTGAGTGGCATAGTCCTTATAAGCGCCTGGGGCTACCTTTGAAAATGGATTCAAGGGTGCTGGCCAAGGCAAACAGCAAGTTTATAGATGCCCCATAGCATGGTGTGTGAAAAGAGCTCTTCTGGTTTTTTTCTGGACGGTCTCCCCTGCACAATAAGAGACTTGGGCTAGAAGACCTCAACGGTCCCTCTTAATCTATGATCTAAAAGGCCTTCATAATGACAGACTCCAGTTGAAGGGTCTCACAGTAGGCAATTAAGGGAGAAGAGCAGAGCAGAGCAAGTAATAACCCCATAGACCATAGCCTCCTGGTAGAGCCTGTTCACATCTGTGCCTCCTCTCTCCTGTTAACATATGTGTGTAGGTGCCAAGGCCTGAGATTCTTGGGTCTCTAGGCTGATTGTCTAGTCCACCACCCACAAAGCCTTGTGTGTAAAATTAGGATTATCTCTTCTCTCTTCTCCTGGGGAGACCAAATGTCTCTGAAAGTAGAAAACATATTTAAAAAAAAAACAAAACCAAAAACCCTTAGGCTTGGAATCAGGAGGCAAGGAAGATAAACAGGTTTTAGCTCAGTAATAACAATACATTTTCCAAAGCTGGGTCTTTGTGTGATAGAGCAGGTGTGATAGATAATTTTTATAGATGAGGAAACATACAGATTACATGACTTGCTCAGGATCAATCAAAAAGCATTAATTAAGCACTTACTGTTTGTTAGGCACCATGCTAAGCTATGGATGGAAATCAGGCTAGGGAGTGGCAGAAATGACACTGGATTCCATCTCTCCTCATTCCCTAGTCCAGTGCTCTGAAAGAAGCTACCAGGCTTCTGAAACAGGAAAGAGGGAAAACAGAATGGGTTTTCAAGGTTAGTGGGTGGTAGACCTCCGTGTGTGTGTGTGTGTGTGTGTGTGTGTGTGTGTGTGTGTGCGCGCGTGCGCACGCACGCGTGCACGTGTGTATCCATCCAGAGCAGATCTGGAGCTTAATTTTACCCACCTCCTGGGCCAAAATTTCTATGATCATTTCAGTCCAAAGAATAATTTATTCTCTGATGAACAACAGCTATTCCATTTAAAGCAGAACCTTATTTTATAATACTTCCTACCATGATTTCTACACTCCAGTTAATCTAATCCGTTATTTGTCAAGCAACTACAGTAACGTCAAACTAAACTATTATATCTAATATAATCTAAAGAGGATTTACTAATTACTACATGCAAGGCATTGTACTAACTAGGTTAGCAGAAACAATAATAATAACAAACCAGTCCCTGCCCTCAAGGGCAGTGCTCTATCCATTGTGTCACCAATTCTACTAGACAGATACAACATGTGCACAGAAATACATACAAAAAGAGGCTCACAGACAGAACCTCAGAGGTCTTCAGGTTGGTTTCTCTTATTTTACAGATCAGGAAATTGAGACCTGGAGAGACCAAGTGAATACAAGTTCATACAGGTAAGCAAATGTCAGAGAAAGGATGAGAACCCAGATACTTTGACTCTGGGGGGGTCAAGGTTCTGTTTCATTGTGCTGTGTGTGATATATCCTTGAGAAGTGGGCACTAGCAAATTGAGGGATGAGGGAAGGCATGGATAGTGAACACACAGGAACTATATGAACACAATTACAAAACACCTTTCACACAAATAAAGACAGATCTAGAGGGCAGCTAGGTGGCACAGTGGATAGGGCACCGACCCTGGAGTCAGGAGGACCTGAGTTCAAATCCGTGACTCCCCAGTGACATTTGACACTTACTAGCTGTGTGACCCTGGGCAAGTCACTTAATGCCAATTGCCTCAGGGTGGGGGTGGGGGAGAAAAGACAGATCTAAATAATTGGAGAAATATGAATTGCTTATGGGTAGGCTGAGTCAATATAATGAAAATGGCAATACTAGCTAAATCAATTTACTTATTTAGTGCCATACCTATCAAACTATCAAAGAATTACTTTATAGAGCTAGAAAAAAATAATTCACCTGGAGGAAAAAAGGTCAAGAAAGTAACGGGAATCCATGAAAAAAAAATGTTAAGGAAGGGGGCCTAAGCAGTATTAGATCTCTAACTATACTACAAAGGTGTAATCATCAGAAAAGATTAGGGACCTGATACACAGAAACAAATGAGCACTGTAATCTAGTGTTCGATAAATCCAAAGTTCCCAACTATTGGCACAAGAATTCACTATCTGGCAAAAACTGTTGAGAAAACTGGAAAGTAGTCTGGCAGAAACGAGATATACCAAGATATGCTCAAAATGGGTGAATGGTCTAGACAAAAAGAGTGATATCAGAAATAAATTATCGGAGCAGGGAAGAAATGACCTATCAGATTTGCTGCTGCTGTTCATCCTTCATTCTTGAAGATGACCATGACATCAGGGAGGTGATTCCAGGACACGCAAGTGAACTGGACTGAAGTGAGGGAGGGCTGTGCAGAGCCACCAGCCTCACTTTCTCCTCTGGAGCCATCTGGGTCCAATGGCCAGATACAGATCAGGACCCCTGGAAGATGGCGCTGGATGCAGTGGGGGGCCTTTCCTAGCTAAGGTCTTTAGCAGGTCTCAGTTTGACTGAGGCAGCACATAGGGAGTACCATATCTTATCCAAACTATCTTTCCCACCTGCTAGGACTTCTGCTATCTCTGGGAGATAAATTTTTGTTGAATTGAGGGATAAAGACCTTGGAAGAACCACAAACTGGGGTTAATTGGATAATCAGCATTTCAAAGAACAGTAACAAGAGGAAATAACAATGAAGCTAGCAGCTGGAGGGAGGGGGGGAAGCTGAGAAAGAAAAGGAGCTTGTTTGTCCAACATTTCCAATTGACCGACCCTCCAGCCCTTTCACTTTCCTCACCCCTTCTCACCTCTCTCTTCTCCACCTCCCTCTCAGTAGGTGTGTGGCAGTACAACGTTGGTTCCTGGGTTTCACCCAGAACTTTTCTTTTTAGGATAGTCTCTTATTGTCATCAGTGGGCTTAGCCCTGGCATTAGAGCCTTTTGCCCATTGAGGCTCTAGCTTTCAAGGGGATTGGTCCAGGAGCAGCTGTGAATGGTAAACTGAAGATATTCATGGAGGCATTTTGGGTTGCATGACCAGAACTCTGTAGGCAGAGGGTTACTGGGCCTTTTTTGCACTTGCTGCAGAAATGAACCGAGTTGGTTCCTACTAGTTCTATTGTCTCTTACTATATATAAATTAAAATTATATATAAAATAAAATAATTTTTAAAAATCTCTTGCTATATATAATTTAAAAAGAGAGAGGTTATTTAGCAAAGTTATGAAACACCCAAAAATGTCCAATTTTTTTCTCCCTGCAGTGATTATTAACAAATCATTAAGCCTTAGTTAAGCACCTAATACACACACGATACTAAGCATTGGGGACACAAAGGCAAAACAAACAAAAAAAAATAGTTCCTGCCCTCAAAGAGCTTACATTCTAATGAGGGGCATGGGGAGAGAGAGAGCATGCATATATATAAGCATACATAGAATATATGGGGCAGTTTGGTGACACAATGGATAGAGCACTGGGCCTGTGTAACCTTTGGCAAGTCACTTATCCCTATTTACCTCAGTTTCCTCATCTGTCAAATGGATCTAGAGAAGGAAATGGCAAACCACTCTAGTATCTTGGGTCATGAAAAGTCTGACACAACTGAAAATGACTGAACAACAAACAATATATAAAAATGAATACAAGAAGTACTAGGAAAGAGAGCACTAGCAACTGAGGGGTCAGGAAAAATTCTTGTAGACAGTGGTACTTTAGCTGAGGAAACCAAGAGGTGGAGGTGAGGAAGGACAGTATCCCAGGAAGAGGAGACAGGCAGTGCAGCAAAGAGGAGAGATGGATGGAATGGAAGAGTGAGTGAGTATGGTTGGATCCTGGAGGGGAGGATTACATAGGAAGGTGGGAAGGTGGGAAGTGGTTAGTTTATAAAGTTGTTTTTGGTATCTCCAGTACTTAGCACAGTGCTTCTTATACAGTAGGCAATTAATAAATGTTTATTGACTGGCTAGATGGTGAAGGGGGGTCAGCTTTAAATGCCAAATAAAGGTGCTTATCCTTGATCCTAGAAGTAATTGGCCCCTGGATTAGCCTGAGTAGAGGAAGTCAGTTCAACGCTTTAGGCACTTCAGCAGTTAAGTAGAGGATGGATTGGAGTGGGGGTGGAGATGGAGGGGATTTGAGGAAAGGAGTGCAATTAGGAGTCTGTTGCAATAGTCCAGTTAAGAGGTGATGAGGGACTGAACTCAGGTGGTGGTCTTGTGAATGGAGAGAAAAGGTAGGAGAGACGTGAAAAGAAAAAGATGATTTGGCAGTGGACTGGAGATGTGGGGTGGATAAGTGAAGAGTAAAGGATGATACCAAGCTTGTAAACCTGGGTGACTGGGATGGTCAAAGGAGATGAGATATGTAAACGGCTTTGGACAGAGTGTTGGACCTGGGGTTGGGAAGACCTAAGTTCAAATCTGGCCTCAGTAGATACTTACTAGCTGTGTGAGCCTGGGCAAGTTGCTTAACCTCTGCCTGTCTCAATTTCCTTGTCTGTAAAATGGAGATGTTAGTACCTACCTCCTAGGGTTGTTGTGAGGATCAAATGAGATAATATTTGTTTCAAATTGTAAAGCATATAAATGCCAGCTATCTAAAACAGGCAGCTAGGTGGCGCCATAGTGGGCAGAGCGCCAGACTTAGAGTCAGGAAGACTCATCTTCCTGAGTTCAAATCCAGCTTCAGACACTTACTAGCTGTGTGACCCTGGGCAAGTCACTTAACCCTGTTTGCCTCAGTTTCCTCATCTGTAAAATAAGCTGGAGAAGGAAAAATGGCAAACTGCTCCAGTATCTTTTCCAAGAAAACCTCAAATGGAGTCATGGAAAATTGGACGTGACTGAACAACAACAAAAATTACCTAAATCAGTGATGGTGATGATGATGCTATTTATGCACTCTGAGACCACATGTATCTTACATGACTACTTTGGCAGGTAGGTGCTAATGGATCATGAGCTTTAGCAGATCCTATAAAGAAGGAAAGGTTGAAGTATAGCTGATGAGATCATAGATTGAGATCTGGAGATGACACTGGAGGCCATCTAGTCCAACTCACTTATTTTCCAAGTAAGGAAAATGAGGACCATGAATATTAAGTGATTTGCCTAAGGTCAAACAGGTAGAACTGGGAGCATGAACTTTGGTCATATCGTTATAGAGGCAGCATGGGGCAATGGAAAGAGCACCCTCTTTGGAATCAGAGAACGTGGGTTCAAAGCCTGCCTCTTTCACTTACTACTACTCTTGGACAAAGCATTTAATCTCTTTGGGCTCAGTTTCTTCATTTGTAAAATAAGGGCATTGGACTAGATGAAATCCAAAGCCCCTTCTAGCTATAAATCTATCACCCCAGGATTAAGTTAAATTCAGAAAGGCATCATCATCAGAGCATTGCCCAAACAGGGGATGAATTTTCTCAGGCACAGCAATTCATGGAAAATATCTACTAGGGAGCAGAGAGATTTTGATCTACATTGATGGAGGGCAAAGTGTATCCCATAACTATGAAATCACAAGACTCATGAGGCATTGAAGCATTTGACTCTTAGTAGAACATTCCACTCCCTAAGTCTGGAGAGCAATTTTTTTTTTTTAGTGCCAACAGTGTTGATATGAACCCATCTGCCTTGAACCAGGCACATCCTCCTTTTTCTCCCCTGTTCTCCTCTGGTCCTCTCACCTTTGCCTCAGACAAGAATGGCTAGAGGTTCCCAGGAGTTACCTTGACAACTGATCACAGCTTGTGTAGGAATTTTCCAGCTTTTGTGAAAGGGTCATTCCAACTCTGCCAATTTAAGTCCTGGGCCTTAGTTTCCTTATCTGGAAAATGGGAATCATACTACTTGAACTATTTATCTCAACAAGGTTGTTGTAATGTATTTTTCAAAGCTTTTATAAACAAGAGTTATATTATGATTACATCTCTCTTTTGAGAGGTACATCCCTCCCCCCATAGTGTTACCACTCAAATTCCATTGAATTGGAAGGGAAGTCATCTTATCACACCTTCCCTCTGTCTTTCTCTCTGACTTTGCCTTTTTCTTACTTCTCCTTTATTGGGGCTTTTAAAAAAAAATCTAGACCAGTGATTTCATTGGCATAGGGAGTTCTCAGTGAGGAAGCACCATTTGCCAAAACAGATGGGCATCTATTCTGAAATTTACAGTTTTAGCTTAGGGCACAGGGAGAATTAAGTTGACTTGTTATGGTTGCACAGCCAATATGTTTCAGGGGAAGACTTGAGCCCAGGTCTTCCTGACTCCTCTTCAGGCTGTCTATCTCTTTTTCCACTCATTTATTTGGGCATAATGTGAAAAAATCATACTGTAAGGTAGCATGGCACAAAGATATTTTTAGATGCAGAAAGGTTGTTGTTCAGTTGTTTTCAGTTGTGTCTGACTCTTTGTGACCCCATTTGGGGTTTTCTTGGCAGAGATGCTGGAGTGGTTTGCCATTTCCTTCTCCAAATCATTTTACAGATGAGGAAACCGAGGCAAACAGGATTGAATGACTTGCCCGTGGTCACACAGCCAGTAAGTGTCTACAGCTAGATTTGAATCAAGAAGATGAGTTCCTGAATTCAGGCCTAGCACTCTATCCACTTCACCACCTGGATGCAGGAAGACTGGGATTTCAAATCCCACTGATGGTACATACTGGCTGTGTGACATTGGGCAAGTATACCAATGAAATCATATAGGTCATTGAGATAAATCCAATTCCCACCCAATGAAATGAAAGCAGGAAAGACAAGATCTTAGATGTGGAAATTATCTTAGAGCTTAATAAATACATTTAAAATTATTTGTTCTTATTAAAAAGTTTTACATGCACTGCTAATTTAAAAATCAATGACTCATCTTGTAATTAGCCTCCTCTCCCTACTTATCTCTCCTCATATCCAAAGTTTTATTTATATATTTATGTTTTTACATCACAGTTATTTCTGGACTCCCGCTCCCATTGAACCCTCTCTTGTAAAAAAGGAAAAAAAAGCTAAGCAAAAATACTCCATAAACAAGTTACATATTTAAATCTCCCAAACACCCCATACATTATTAAGAGTCCTGTCGTGTAAATAACCTTCTGCTCCAGTAGTCCTCCACCTTTCTGCCATGAGGTAGTACCATTACCTCTGTTCCATTTTGCATGCTGAGCTCAGGTGAGTCTTCTTATATAGCACCACCTACACAGAGCCCTTCACTGTCTCCCAGCTGCCTATACCAGTAGACTCGAAGCTACTAGTTGATCACCATATTTACCTGGTACATATTCCAAGTCTTTACCATTGCCACATACCTTCTTTGATATTCCCTGTCTCTGAAGCAGGGAGAGGATGGAGGTAAAGAAAGCTGGTGGCAATGCCTCACTCGTTTGTTGCTCTCCTGATCATCACTGTTAACATCCCCCATCCCTAACCTCAATGATCATAAGGCTTTGGGGAAATAAGTACCCCTTATTCCTGAAAAGGTTGGGGGGCTCCTGACTTAATAGAATGGAGATGAGGCACCTTTGCTCCTACCTTTTCAACCTCATCACCCTCTACTCTTCTATATCGATGAGCCCTCCACTACAGCTATGCTGATTCCTACTTCTCTATCAGGTTTTTCCTTACCACCCCAGGCTACAGTGATATCCCCCTCCAATGAACTACTAAGGCAGTCTTATTGCCCACATCACTTACTTGCCTTGCAGCTTTAAACTGTTGGGCTATTGTGTTTGTTGTTGTTCTTTAACATGTCCTGATTCATTAGTCAGCCATTCAATGATTCATCAATTATTCATTGAATAGCTACTGGGTGCAAGGCACTTTACTGGATACAGGGAAGTGTAAGGTGAGATCTCTGCTCTCAGGAAGCTATGCTGTAATGGACGATACCATTAGAGTTGTAACTAAGGCGGGGCAGTTAGGGCTTTTCCAGGACAAGGACATGGGTGCTTCTTTGGGAAAGAGAAAACACATTTCTTTCCCACAGTAATGATATTCCAAAGCCCTGAATTTCATCGTCCTCTAACAGCCCAGTACTTTTAAGCACTGTATATCTCTGCTCCCTTCCCTTGAGGTATGACCCTGGTTAGCCATCCTCAGAGTCCTATCACCAAAGCACATCTTTCCTGTGGAAAGAGGAGATGGTGCTACTATCTCTCCTCATCCCCCTCAGTGCTGTGACCAGGACTTTCCAAGGTACAGATTATGCCTTCGCCTTCTTCTCTTGGCAGTGGGACTGCCAAACAAGTCTTTCTTCCTCTCCTCCCAAACATACAATAGCAACAACAAGCTATTTTTTTTTACCTTAGGTGAAATAATTCCTAATTTATGTTCTGGGTATGATTTTTTTTAAGCTGGAAAGTATCTTAGAAGCCAGCTAGCCCAATTCCTTTATTTCACTGAGAGTAGTTAATTTTTCCCTTATGTAACTTGCTCAATGTCACATTGAAAGAGTCAGAATTTGAACCCAGGTTCCCTGAACCCAGCTCCGTCCCTCTTTTCACAGCCTCTTAATACCTCATCTTCGCACCTTGTAGGAGTAGGCAATTAATGTTACAGAATGACTGAAGAACAGGCTGATCTGAATTAGGGGGAGAGAGACATAGGTAAGGATGCCACGGTAAACAAAGCTGAACCCTCTTAAAAACAGCTGACATTTATACAGTAAGAAGGTTGCAAAGCACTTTAGCAACATTAGCTCAGTTGATCCTCAAATAACACTGTTAGATAGCTGCTACTATTATCTCCATTTTTTAAAATGAGGAAACTGAAGACCAGAGAATTCAAGGTACTTGCCCAGGGTCACAGTGAGTTTCTATCCACTCACATTGCTTCTCTCTCACACACACACACCCCTACATACAAGTATATATGCATGTGTGTATGTATGTAATCTTATCAAGCAACAATCATTTTATTAAGCACCTATGGGTCAGTCACTGGGTACAAAGGCAAAAAATAAAACAAAACACAAACAGTCCCTGCCCTCAAGGACTTTCCATTCTACTGACTCGCTTTCTTGGCTTCCCTCCTCCCAGTACAAAGGTGAAACTCAGACCAGACCACGCCCAGCTTCTAGAAGGACCAAAGAGCTTGGCTGGATTCCTCCGCGCGGCGCGGGCGTCCGAGGAGGCAGACAAAAAGACCACGGAGCCGTCCTCGCTTTGCTGTCTCCTGCGCAGCTGTCAAACCAACGGTGACAGGTGCCGGGGAGAGTTGACTGCGCAGACGCAGACGCGGAGCTGCTTAGGCAGGACTAGACTGTGGCTTGTACGCGAGGGTGTGGTGGGGTTCCTACCTCTGAGCCGGGGCCTGGCGGCAGTGAAGGCCCGGCCCGGCCCGGTGTGGCCCGAGGAGCCGCGGGAGGGCGCGGAGGAGGCGTTCCACGTGTAGGCCCTGCTGCGGTACCCAGGCCGTGCGGCCGAGCGCGGCCTCCACTCCCGATTCGCTGGCTCTCGCCCCCCCTCCCCGTCGGGCTCCAGAGTCCCCACCCCCCGGGCCGCGCGGTCCGGGCTCCGTTGCCTGCTCTTGAGGCCCTCCCTCCCCAGTGCCCACAGTCCACGGCTCCCAACTGCGACGCAGCCCACCTCCGTGCCCCGGCCCGCCCGAGTCCCGCTCCCAGAGCCCTTGCCCACCCCCGGCCCGTGTCCGCCCCTGTCCTCTCCGTTCCCTAATGCCTCTATAGGACCCTCAAAAGAGCCTCTCCTGTCCCCAGACCTGCACTCCGTGCCCCCCGCCCCAGCTTCTCTCCCAGTGCCCCCTCCTGCCCCAGAGATCCTGGTGCCAGTGTCTGGACCCAGAACCCCAGTTCCCCAGCTTTCCTATGACACTTGACCGGTGTCCACTCCGGAGAACCCTTACCTACCGCATTGCCTGGACCTGCCCCAAGACTCCCTCCAAATCCACCCCCCTCCCCTTGTCCCTCCCCCTCCCCCTCCGCTTGGGTCTAACCCTTAGCTCCAGCCTCCCAGAGACTGCTCCCAACGCCCACCTCCTGTTTCCGCCCCCTTCCCAGTGCCCAGCCCCAGAGGCTCTGCCTGTGCCAGGGCCAAGTCCCAGTGTCCTTGTTTACTCCAGGAACCAACTCCAGTGTCCTTCTCTCCCCCAGGACCTCTGCTGGACTCAGAGCCGGGTCTCAGTGCCCCTGCCTTCTGTTGGGCACCCAGCAAGTGTTCACCCCTCAGAACTCCCACCCTTCAACAGTGCCTCTGCCAGACACAAGGCCTACCCCAGGTGTCCACCCCCAGAGGCCTTGCCTGTCCCAGTGCCCACCTCTAGTCTCCCTGCCTGGCTCAGAATTTCTGCTCTCTCCCAGCCCCCCACCCCAGCCTAGAGCTGGGCCCCAGTTCCCTTGCCTGTCCTAGAGTGCCTGCTCAGTGTCTACCCCCCAGAACCCTTTCCCTCTACAATGCTCCTGTCTGTGCCAGATCTGCCTGCCCCAAGTTCTCACCCCTAGAGGGCCTGCCTGCCCCAGGGCAACCTGTGCCCTTGCCTGCCAAGAGTCCCTCTCCTCCCCAGTGCTCAGCTCCAGAGCCCCTGCCTGTCCTTGAGCACCCACTCAGTATCTACTTTCCAGAACTTCTGCCTTTCACAGTGCCCATGCCTGCCCCACAGGTTTTGCCTGCCCCAAGTGCTCACCCCCAGAAGCCCTCCCTGCCCAGGTCCCAACCCATGTCTTTGCCAGTTGTTATCCAGTAACAAACCTGAACCCCTGCCCACCCCAGATCCTGGTGCCAGTGTCCGCTCCCAATGTCCTTGCTCATTCCAGAGCCCTTGTTTTCCTGAATGCCCTCCTCAGTGTTTTCTTCCTTCATGCCACTTCTAACCACAGTGCCTCTGCCAGCCCCAGATCCCATTCACAAGTGCCCATTCCCAAGACTCTTGCCTGCCACAGAACCCAACCCCAGTCCTCACCCCAAAACCTGATCCCAGTACCCACCCACCCCTGTGCCCCTGCTATCCCCAGAGCCTACTCTTAGTAACTACCACTAAAGCTCCTGTGTGTCCCAGAACCTACTTCCAGTGCTTACCCTAAGAGCCTTTACCTGCTTCAGTGCCCACCCTAGCGCCTCTGACTGCTCCAGAGTCTGCCTGCAGTTCCCAGAGCTTGGTCCCACTGTGCACCTTTAGTGCCTCTATCTGACCTTGTCCTCCTCAGAGCTGAATCCCAGTGACCCTGCCAGTACCAGGACCTGCCCCCCAGTTTCGAAACCCAAGAGCTTCTGTCTGTCTCAGAGGTCCAGCCTTGCCCAAGGCCTACCTGTTTACTGCTAGTACCCTTACTCAGTGCCCTTGCCTGTGTTATGACCCAACCCTAATATCCCTGCCTGCTGCAGAGGCCCTCTCTGTCTCAGAGCCTACCCCCAGTGCCCAACCCTAGAGTCCCTACCCACCCCAGAGCCCTGTCCCAGTGTCTCTGCTTTCCCCAGTTCTCCTGTTTGCCCTAGGGATCACCTCCAGTAAGCCTACCTCCAGTGTCCCTGCCTGACCCAGAACCCTCTCTCAATACTCACCCTCTGCTCTCTGCCCTCTGTCCTCCCCGTGCCAACCCTAGAGTGCCTAGCTGCCCCAGGCCCCACCCTCCTCGCCCCAGACTCCCCCCAGTGCTCACCCCCAGTCCTCACCTTTCTGAGTCCCTGCCTTTCAGAGGGCCCACCCACAGTGCCCCAGCTTGCCCCCAGAGCCCCTGTCTTCCTTAGTGCCCCTGCCTGCTTTATAGCCTGCCCTGAGAACCCTTGCCTTCCCCAGCATCTCTGTCTGCCTCAGAACCTTTGCCTACTCCAGTGCCCATCCTAGGGCCCCTGACTGCTCCTAGACCTGCCTCCAGTGCCCAGCCCCAGAAACTCTTCCTGCCCTAGAGGCAGCTGTGCCTCTCAGGGCCCACCCCCAAAACCAGCCTCTAGAGCACCTGCCCACCTGAGAGGCTGATCCCAGTGGGTGACTTCCAGTGCCCATGTGTGCCCCAGAGCCCCTGATATTCCCAGTGACCACCTCCAAGAGCTGGGACACAGTGCCCCTTCCCGTGCTAGATTCCAGCCACAGTCGTCTTGTCTGCTGCAGAGGCCCTGTCTGACCCAGAGCCCAAGCCCAGTACCCTAATTCCTTAGAGTCTATGCCCACTCAGAGCCTGATCCCAGGAACCACCACCACAATGTTTGCGTGCCCCAGAAACCACTTTCAGGGACTTTCTTCCCAGGGGCCCTTCCTCCCCAAGGGTCTGCTCTCAGTGCCCACCCATAGTCTTCCCCACCCCAGAGCCTGGTCACATTACCTACTTTGTCCCAGGACCCACCACAAATACTCACTTCTAGAGCTCCTGCTCTCCCCAGGGCCCCTGCCTGTCCCAGAAACCCTGCCTACCTCAGGGACCACCCTTAGAGCCCCTACCCACCCCAGAACCTGTTTCCAGTGCCCATCCCAAGTGCTCCTGCTCACTTTAGACCCTCTGCCCTCCTCAGTGCCTATCCCAGAGCCTCTGCCCTCAGTGTCCCTGCTTGTCTCAGAGCCTCGCTCCAGTGCCCCTGCCTACTCCAGGACCTACTTCTAATATCCCCAAATCCCAAGTTACCCAGTGCCAACCCCTAGAGTGCTTAGCTGCCCTAGAGCCTACCTTCATTGGCCCTGATTCTCCCAGTGCTCACCCCCACATCCCTTAGCACCTGCCTGTCCCAAGGTTTGACCCTAGTGCACACCTCCAGCAGCCCTTCCTGCTCCAGAGCTTGACTCTGGTGCCCCCTACCTGCCCCAGGGCCCACATCCATTGCTCAACCCCAGAGGCCCCTAGGATGGGCACTGGAGTGATCACCCTCAGTATCCTTGCCTTCTCCAAAGCCCCTGCCCTCCCTAGTGCCTGCCCCCCGAATTCCTGCATGTTCCAGAGCTCACCCCTATTGGCCCTGCCTCCCCCAAAGCCCACCCCCAGTACCAGTCTTACCTTTGAACCTGGTTTCAGTGCCCATCCTCGGAACCCCTTCCCACCACAGAGCTTAGTCTAGGAGCCTACTACCAGTCCCTACCTCCAGAACCCCTGCCCTCCTCAGTGCACATGCCTGCTTCAAGGGCCACCACAAATACCTATCCTTCAAGCCACTGCCGACCCCAGAGGAGACCCCTGCTAGCCTCAGAACTGATTCCCAATATGTCTGCCTCTCTCAGAGCCTGCCCCCAGAACTCTTTCCTGTGCTAAGGTTTTCACTGAGTGCCCACCCCAGAGCATTGTCCCAGTGACCACTCCTTGTGTCTTTGCCTGCTTCAGAATCCCAGACCACCTCAGTGCCCCCTACCTGCCCCAGAAGCCTTGTGTGCCTCAAGGCCTGCCACAAATGCCCATCCTGAGCCATTGCCTGCCCCAGAGGTGACTCCTAGAGCTCAGTCTCAGTGTCTCTTCCCCTGTGACCACCCCCAGTGTTATTATTCACATTGGAGTCCTTGACCTCTCTAGTCCCAACCTCCACAGCCTGATGCTAGTGACCACCCCCCAGTGCTTGCCTGCACCAGATCTGGGACCCAGTGACCCTGCCTACCCTGTCCACAGTGCAGTGTCTGCACAAAAGTCCAGTATGCCCCAGAGCCTACCCTTAGAGTCTGCCTCCACTGTCCCGGCATGACCCAGAGCCTGACCCCAGTGCTCACCACCAGAACCCCTGACCATCCCAGAACCTGGTTCCAGTGATCACTCTCAGACCTTCCCACCTCAGAGTCTGGTCCAAGAGCCTGACCCCAGTACCTATTCCAAGTGCCCCTGTCTGCCTCGGAGGCCCTGCCCACCCCAGGGCCCACCACGTGTCCATTCTCAGAGCCCATGTCTGCCCCAGATTCTCATAGCAGTGTCCCCCAGCATCCCTGGGCTCCCCAGTGCCCACCTCAGAGCCCTTGCCTGTGCCAGTGCTCACCTCTAGTACCCCTCCCACCCCAGAGCCTGGTTCCAGTGCCTACTCCCCATTGTCCCTGTTCTCTCTAGGACCTCTACTCTTCTTAGTGCCCATACCCAGACCCCCTGCCCACCTTAGATCCAGGCCCCAGTACCTCTCCCTGCCCAAGGGCCTGCCCCCAGTGCCCATCCCGCAGAGACTCCTGTGGCCCTGCCAGAGTCCATTCCCAGAATATGTTCATACCTAAGTCTTAGTCCACCCCCACCCCAGAATTCTGGCCTATCCCAGAGCTCACCCTTAGTACTCACCCCAAGAACTCATATCCACCCCAAAGCCTTATTCCAGTGATCACCCCCTTCCCTGAGCTCCTGACTTCTTCAGTTCCCTTTGTCTGCCCCAGAGTCCACTTCCAGTGATCCTACCTGGCCCAGAAGCCTTACCTAACCCAGGGTCCTCCCCCCAGTGCCTACCTTCAGAGCCCCTCCCTACCCTAGGCCTCATCCACAGTACCTCTGCCTAACCCAGATCCCTCCCTAAATGCCCACCCCAAGAGCCTTTGTCCATCCTGTAGCTGGCTCTCAGTGACCACCTCAAAGTCCCAGTCCCCTACCTGCCCCTAATAGTCCCCCAGTCTGACCCCAGTGACCACCCTCCCTTGCAATGCTTGCCTGCTCCGCAGCTGGGGCCCAATGCCCTTGCCTGCAGTAGGACTTGCCCACAGTGCCTCTGCTTGCCATAGAAGTCCAATGTGCTCCAGGGCCCATACCCAGTACCCCTGCATGCCCCAGAGACTGACCTCCAGTGCCCTTGCCTATCCTTGAGGCACTACCCTTCTCAGTTCCCAGCCTCAGAGCCCTTGCTCACCACCATGGCAGGCCCCAGTGCCCCTGCCTGTCTCAAGGATTTCCTCCCCTTTGCCACAGGATCTCTGCCTACCCCAGGGCCAACCACAAATACCCATCCTCAGAATCATTGCTTGCCTCAGAAGCCATCCCCAGTGCCCACTCTGCCCTCCCCAGTGTCCAATCCCAGAAGCCCTGCCTATTCCAGGGCCTGCTTCCAATGGCCACCTCCAGAACTCCTATTCTCAGAGCCAAGTAGCAATGCCCACCTCTAGAACCCCTTCCCACCCCAAAGCCTAGTCCCAAAGCCCACCCCCAGGATCCCTGCCCACCATGGAGACTGGTTCCAGTACCCATCCTTGTTGCCCCTCTGGGCTCCCAAGCCCTTCCTCCCTAGTTTCCCTGTTTGCCCCAGGGGATATCTCTAATACACACCCCAGAACACTGCTTGTTCAAGAATATGCCCCCAAGGGGTGGCTAGGTGGAACAGTGAATAGAGCTCTGGCCTTGGAGTCAGAAGGACTTGAGTTCAAATTCAGCCTCAGACACTTAACACTTACTAGCTGTGTGACCCTGGGCAAGTCAACCCCAATTGCCTCACCAAAAAGCAAAAAAAAAAAAAAAGAATATGCCCCCAGATACTTTGCCTGCCCTAAATCCTGTTCCCATTGCCCACCACTTAAATCCACTACCTACCCAAAAGCCCAGTCCGACTGTTCATTCCCAGAGATCCTGTCCTCCCCAGTGGCCACACTCAGTCCCCTGCCTTCCTCTAATGTTCACCCCTAGAACCCATGCCCAACCCAGAGTCTGGTCCTAGAGAATACCACCAGGGCCTTGTGACCACCCCCAAATGCTTGCCAGCCCCAGAGCTAGTACCCTTGCTTGCCTTGGCCATTGCCACCACAATGACCCTGCCTGCTGTAGAGGCCATCCACAGTACCTCCACCTAGGTTTCTTCTTTAGTTCAAAACTTGGTCCGATAACTATCCCCAGATCCCCTGCCTACGCCTAGAGCTACTATCCACCTGCAAACCTACCCCCAGTGCCCATACATGTCCCAAGGTCCAACCTCAGTGCCCACCCCCAGAACTCCTGCCCATTTTCAAGCTTGATTCCATCTTACCCCCAGAGACTTCCCTGCCCAGTCTGGTCCCAGAACTTGCTTCTAGTGCCCTTGTCCACTGCAGTGTCCCTGCCCTCTCCAGTGCTTAACTCACATATCCAGCATGCCTCAGTGCCCCCCTCAGTGCCTCTGCCTAGCCCAGGGCCCACTCTGCAGTGCTCACACCAAGATCCTGGTCTCATTGCCCACCATCAGGGTCTTTGCTTACTCCAGAGCCCCTACATTGCCTAGGACCCATCCCCCAGTACCCGACTGCCTGAGAATCCCACCCCTAGAGTCTTTGCCCACTCATTCTCCAGTTTCCATGATGGCCCCAGGAGTCTTTCCTCCCCCAGACCCCACTGCCTTCAAAGCCTTCCCCCAGTACCCACACCCATTGTCCTAGCTTGTACCAGAGATTCCCATGTCCCTACCTTCCTAAGAGTCATACACTATTGCCTAATCCCAAAGCCCATGTCTGACCCCTGGGCTTGTCCCTGAGGCCCATCCCCAGAGACTACCTGATCCAGAGCCTAATCCCAGTGGACCAATCCTCAAATGCTTGCCTGCCTCAGAGCTGGGACCTAGTGCCCCTGCTTGTCCCAGGATCTCACAAGACCCTTGTCTGCTGCAGAGGCCATCCCCAGCTTCCATCTTTACCCCAGAGTCAACTACAGCCCATCCCCTGACTACCCCAGTGCCTACTCCTAAAATCACTGCCCACTCCAAAGCCTGGTTTCAGTGATCACCACCTTCCACCCCCCAGATCCTCTATCTTCCCTTTGTCTACCCCAGAATCTACCTCCAGTGATCTTGCCTCTGTAAGGTCTTGCCTGCCCCAGGGCCCGCCCCCAATGCCTCAGCCCCAGAGCCCACTCCCTCTGGCCACCCCAAAATCCCTGCCCACTCCAAAGTCTGGTCCCAATGTCTATCCCCCAGATCTCCTGCCCTCCCCAGTTCCACTGCCTCCCTCAGAATCCACCTCTAGTGCCCTCCCCAGAACCTCTGCCCACCTCAGAGCTAGATCTCAGGGCCCATCCACAGGGCCTTGACCTCCCCAGTGCTCCTCCCTGCCCCAGAGTCTCTGCCTGCTCTAGTGCCCATCTCCTCTTCCCACCCCATAGAGCCCACGGGCTCTATGGCTCAAGAGCTTTCAAGGGCTGTCTTCCAGTGCTTAACCTTGGAACCCAAGTCCCACCCCCTTGCCAAGTGTCTGTCCCCACGAATGCCCACCCAGAGCCCTGCCCCCCCATGGCGCATCCCCTGTGCCCACCTCCATAGCCCCTGCCCAACCCAGAGCTTTTGTCACAGTACCGACTACCAGAGCTTTTGCCCATGCCAAGGTTCCTACACTCCCCAGTTCTCATCTTCAGTGTCTCTGCCTCACCCAGAGCCAAAGCTAATGTCCCTATCTCCCTCAGGGCCCTCCACCAGTGCTCCTGATTGTCCCAGAGGCCTTGCCTGCCCCAGTGCACACCCCTTGCCCATCTCAAAGTTTTGTCCCGGTAACTACCTCCCAGAACCCCTGCCTTTCTCAATTCCTCTGCCCACTCCAAGGCCTACCTCTAGTGACCCTATCTGCCCCAGAGGCCTTGCCTGTCACAGAGCTCACCCTCAGAACCTAGCCTCAGAGCCACTGCCCACACTGAGTCTGACCCCAGTACCCACCCCCAGTGCCCCTGCATGCCTCATAGACCTCCCAGTTCCTCTCCCCTTGCCAAAAGCCATCCTTTAGTACCTAAACCCCAGACCCATGCCTTCCCCCTTCCACCTGCTTACCTCAGGGCTCACTTCTAGTACTCACTGCCAGAGAACCTGCTTACCCCAGAGTATGCCCCCCAAACTCACCTCTACAATTCCTGCCCATCCCAAAACCTAGTCCTAATGACCATCCCCCAGAGACTTTGTCCTCCCCAGTACCCCCTACCTGCCCAGGGCCTGCACCTAGTAACCACCCCTAGGATGTTTGCCCATCCCAGAGCAAGATCTCTGATGGCTTGCCCATCTTAGGGCCCACCTCTAGTGCTCACTTCCATAGTCCCTGCTCACTCCAGGGTCTAGCCTGAGTGGTCTCTCTCAATGTCATCCCAGAGCCTCTAGCTTCTCCACTGCTCACCCCCTGAGCACTTACCCTAGAGCAGGACCCCAGTGTCTCTTCCTACCCAAAGTGCCTATTTCCCCAGCCCTCTGCTTTCCCCAGTGTCCCTGCCTGCCCCAGAGTCAATTGCTGCCCAGTGGCCCTTTCCCACCTCAAAGCCTGGTCCCCAGTGAATACCCCAGAGCACCTGCCTACCCCAGAAGCTCTTGCCTGCACAAGGGTCTGCCCCTAGTGTTCCTGCCTATACCAGAGACCTTGCCTGCTCCAAGACCTGTTCTTGGTGCCTACCTCTAGAGCCCTTGCCAGCTTCAGAACCCACTCCCAGAAGCTCTGCCTGCCCCAGGATCTGCCCCCATAATCCCTACCCACCCCAGTTCTGGTCTCATGACCACCCTCAGAGCCCCTGCCTGCCCCAGACCACATGGCCAGAGCCCCTACCTGCCCAAGAGTGGGGCCTTAATCTTCCCCTGGATTAGATCCCACATCCATCCATCCCAGGCAGCCAGCCTCTTCAGGCCCCCTGTCCAGGACAGCACTGACTCTTCCCCCCACCCCAAGCCTCCCACCTGACCTGGGCATTCCTACCACCGTAAAATCCCCAGTCAGGCCCAATAGCACTTTTCCCCTTCCCTGCCCTGAATAGTCCTGTGCCCTACCCAACTTTCTGGTCCTGGGGAACTGTTGCCCCTTCTCCTCCTGCCTAGCCCAGGCCACCATGGGTGATTCACTCACCTCCTGCTTAGTTTGGGCAGCCTCTTCTCCATCCCCTACTCAGCCCTGCTATATGATAGCCACAGATAGCGTCCTGACCCTTGGCCCCCCTGCCTGGCCTGAGTAGCCCAATCCCAGGTCAGGCCCTGATCTCTTTGTCTCCCTGATCTCTGTCCCTTCTGTGACCCAAGTTGCCTTGCTTCCCCGTCCCTATTCCTGCTTTTTTCTCTCTGCCTATCCAAAGCCATTTACCCACTCCAGGATCCCAGTTCCTCTTTTATCCTATCTCCTATATAAACCTCTAACACTGATCCAATGGAACTCTCAGACCTTATCTCCTCTCTTTCCAATGCAAACCCAAAGTGACCCTCTCCACTTCACTCTCCTGCTTGGCTCCAGCAGCCTGCAAGACCCATTCTTTCCTCCAACTCATTCCCCCATAGCCTCAGTCTCCTTTACTCCCATCTCAGATTTTTTTTAAACACTGCCCCAGAGTGTTTTCCTCCCCTGTCCTCCATCTGCCTTCAGCCCCTATCTCCACTCCTTTCTGCAACATGCAAGGCTTTTCCTAGCCTCCATTCCTCCATTCTTCCTGCTTCTGAATACTATCTCTAGTACTGAGTACTGTACTAGTACACTAGTGCTCTAGTACTAAGTACTGTCCTGTATTAGCTCTCCTAAGCCCTGGTTAAAGTGTCCCAGCCCCTATCTCCAGATTTTCTTCCAATTCTGATTCAAGGTATCCCCAGTTCCCTTTCCTCCTAATACTCTAATTTATGCTTCCTTCCATTCCAATCCAAGGCAACCCCACACCTCTATTTTAGCTCTTTTCTCCAACACTGACTCAAGGTATCTTGCCTCCTCTCTACTTCCTCAGCTTGTTCTCTCCAAAGCTTACGGTTCTCTCCCTCCTGCCCCTACCTCTTCCTACCTTTGACAGATCTTGCTTTTATTCTAACTTCAGTAACTTCCCCTTTGTCCTCCACTGCTTTCTGTGTCTCTTATAACTGAGCTGCTGTAGCATCCTAGGTGGAATCTTCCCTGAGACTGAAGGGGATGCCCAGGATGAACTGCTGAGAGTGAAGAGGGGTGAGCAATGCCCTTTGACCTCAGACACTAGGAGACATGACTTATTATCCTGATGAACTTGTGGGTAGCTTAGGGTTTGGGTCTGAATTGCATTTCCAAGGTAATCAGAGATCTTCCCCATTTCTAACCTATCTTATTCAGCCAAATATGGCTGGTTCCACTGTTCAAGACCATTAGTATGGGTGATGAAATCCTAGAGGCTTTATACTGGTTTTCTAGGAATTCCAGACAGACAAAATGTTTGGATAAGATCCTGCATCTTAGTCCAGGTCATACCCATTTCATAACATTTTACCTTTACCTCTCCCTGCATTTCCTTGGGTTCCCTAGTGCTGCATCAGCTCCTTTTTAAAGGTACAGTCTACTGTACACACTGGAGAGCATAGTACTGTCTGCCTACTGGATATGCAGGCAAGTTTTGTTTCCCCCATGGCTTCAACTCCTGTGTAAAATTCTCACATTTCCTTCCTTACTCTGTGGACCCAGAGAATGGCACAAGCGTATCAGAAAAGGTACAAGCCGTCCAAAGCTGGAGAAACCCTCTACGACATACTGGAGCTGCCTCAGGGAGCAACACCTGAAGAGATCAGGAAAGCCTACAGGTCTGAACTTAAGCACCTCCATGAAGTCTTTGACTCTTGTATCCCCAAACCTTAGACCACAAACCCTACTCGCCACCCTCCCCCCATTTTCAAATTACCTGATCCTCCCATTGAGACTGGGAGAAGGCAGCATCTCTTTGTCAGTGTGGAAGAGGGAAAAGAGTTTTTCCTGTTTTCTTTATCCTTGTTACTGCATCTCAAAATGTCTAGATTTCTCCCATGCTGTGTCTACCCCATGTACTCCATCCATCTTCCTTCCCCCTCTCCAATTTGAGCTTGTTCTGTTATTCTTGTTTATGCCCTTCCTCATGGGTAATGGCTGGTAGGAAATTGGCACTGAAGTACCACCCAGACAAGAATCCAGAAGACCCCGATGCAGCAGAGCGATTCAAAGAGATCAATGCAGCCCATTCAATACTTGCTGATCCTGATCAGCGCCAGATCTACAATACGTATGGTGCCATGGGCCTATATATGGCTAACCGATATGGCTCAGAAACTATCAAAATGTATTTCACTGTGACCAAGTGGTGGTTCAAGGTATGCATTCCTTTGAAGTCCCTCCAGTATTTGGGCAACAGAGATGTCCACACACTGGCATGTTGCCCTACTGTCAGTGTCAGGGAATTTGGGGGTGGGGGAGCATAGATAACACTAGATGAGAAGCAGTTGGACTTAAGCCATTCTCCCCAATCTCCCAGGGCCTGGTCCTCTTGTGCACACTTCTTTCTTGCTGTTGCTGCTGTTGCTGCTGCTGTTTTTGCTGTGGGATGAACGTCCCACCAGAATATGAGTATTTTAAGTCTAACAGTGATCTACAGACACAACGTCCAAGGACAGGTGAGGCCAAAGGAAAATGCCCAAGGTAAAATCTGGGCCAGGAGTGAAGGTAGGAAGGTCTGGAATGAGAGGGATCTCTGAGCCTAGGGTCTCCTAGAGCTAGGAGAATCAGGTCTGGGATTGGGTCAGACTGAAGGATAATCAGGGTATAGAATCTGCGGCTTTCTCAAGGTGCAAGTGTAATTTGAGTGAATGAAAAAGCATTTGTTAAATGCTTACTGTATGCCAAGCATTAGAGAAACAATACAAATAGTGAGATAGCCTCTGCCTTCGAGGAACTTCTATTCTAATAGACAACACATACAAAGAAGTGGTGGTCTGGGAAGGGAACTTTGGTTTGAGGAGTCAAGGAGATGTTGAGTTGATCTATAGGACGCTAGATTGACATACCCTTTCCAAGAGCAAGGTGGCATTGTTGATTTGATTACTGAGCCTTAGACATAGGAAAAGGAGGGGGAGAAGGAGTGTCAGTAACTCATATGGTGAGATGGCTTGGATGAACAGCTGAATGGGATGAGGCACAGTCTGGTCTGGGGCTGCCTACATGTATCCTTTATTGATAATTTGAGAATGACACCCTGTCTGTGGTTTTTTTGAGCTGGGAGATGAGCCTAAAAGAAGTCATAGATGAAGGTGGGTTAGATGGTATACTTTGTTTATGATATTTGCTCAAAAGATAACCAGGTTTTATTTTCAAATTAAATGTCGACTAATTTGATTGATCAGTTTAATCTAAAAATGGTCTTAAATTTCTGCCTCATCGCCATCTAGTGGTGGCCAGGAGTAATTTCAGTGTAATGGTATTAAGTATTAGATTGAGAGTTAAGACAGGAATTGCAGCTCATTTCAAGAAATGTTTGTATTCCAAATTTCATAGGTGGAACTGAAGATGCTTTCTCCAATCTGAACCCAAAAAAGTATGAAAATGAAGAGGCATAAAATGCGAAAACTGGAGTACAATAGTATTCAAGGAGAAGAGAAGGGGCTGAAGCAAATAATTAGTGAAAAAAGTATATAACTTTATTATTATTTTATCTTGATTACAAGTAAGTAATAAAAGTTTGGGGTTTTTTTCTGTATACTTGCTTTAGGAGGTTCATCTTAATATGGTACTACTTGTTTCTTCTGTCTCCAGGTACTGACCCTGTGAATGTGTCTTCTGCTGCCCAGTCTGCTATACGCACCAAAGAAGGGGACCTCTAGTCCCAGTCCTGATATTAACCCCACTCATATAAGCACCATGAATGCCATAGCACTTCTGAACTCTGGCCCTCTCCCTATGAAAATTCTTTTCCTGACCTTCATGGTATCACCAAATCTGGCTAGAATTCTATAAACCCCAACATTCTCTAATCTCAAACCCTATGCATCTTTCCTAACTTGTCCCAAAACCTGAATACAGCTGGAAGCAGCATTATCTATTTCTTGCCATCCAAGCCGTGCAAAATCTTAGGCTGAGAGGGCTGCCCTCTCCCCAAAAGAATTGTCTCTTGTTCCCATGTGCCTTAATGGTAACTAGTGGTAGCTGTGTCCCTAAGCTGTCTGGAATAATGTCTCCCTCAGAGGCAACTGGTAGTACCACTGAAAGAGCACTGGGTTAGAGTCATGAAGACCTGAATTCAAATTTGGCCTCAAACATTTGCTAACTATGTAACCTTGGGCAAATCATATAACCTTAGTTCCTCAACTGTAAAATGGGGGTAATAATAGCACCTATTTCGTAGGTTGTTGTGAGGATTATGTGTGTGTGTGTGTGTGTGTGTGTATACACAGACATACATATCCACTTAGTACATGCCTAGCACATAGTAGGTCCTATATACATGTTTATTCTCCTTCTTCCCCACCCCACTCCCTTCAGGGCAGGAGCCATCATGCAGGGTAGATCCTGTACTTGGGTTTGCTGTGTCAATTCCCTCCATTCCTTTGGATCAGGAATCCCATGGCTAGGCTGAGCCCTAAACTTTCCTTCCTGGAGTGGGCCCCATCTACCCCTGCCTCCTAATACCCACAGTGTCTGAACCACTTAATGCTACTGTTACTCAGCTCTTAGGAGTGAGAAGTAAGGAAGGGGAAAAGGTTACCATACTTTCCTAAATATTCTAGAGGTTGTTTCTACCAGCACAGGCACCCACCAGCCTTATCCACATGGTATTCTTGGGACATAACCTCTCTTCTTCCCTAAGGCTCTTATTTCCAAGACAGAAATGCTAATTGCATCCTGGAAGAAAAAGTGCTTCTCACAAAACATTCCCCTTTCTATGTCTTCTGTGCCAAAGTATTCTACCTATTTCAGTTGCTTTCCTCAAACATTCAACCAAGGGCCAGCCCATATACCTTCCCCTTAATTCAGTGAAGGAATCAAGCACTGTTTTGGAGCAGGAAGGCCTGCGGGGTTGATTATACATCAGTGAATAAAGGAACTTTGTGCAGTCTCCACTGTGTGGTTGGGGACAGAGAAGATAGCCTGGCAATGGTCTGTGGAGAAGAAGATGAGCACCAGGGTTCTGGTACCAGAGCCGACAAGTTTAATGACTAATTTGGTGGTATTTGGCAGGAGTTATGCCTTTTCTTAGTGGGTTAAAGTTCCCTTAAGACCTCTGACAACTATGCCTCTCCCTTAGTGCCTATACTGAGCCCAGTACATGCATGGACGAGGGAAAATTTTTTTTCCACGAGAGAAATGCTTTCAAAGATTACGCAGAAGAGAAGAAGAACCAGGTCCATGGGTCTATCCACCATCTTAAAAATGCACTCCAGCAAATAAATTTCAAGCCATGATTGGAATTTTTTAAGTGCTGACACTCCAGGTACCTATCTTTCACTAAAGTCTGATTGATGCCTCACTGGTCAAATGGAGGCAAAGTTGGATTCTTTATGGCTATGCCAACAGAAGCTAATCTCTGCCTGGTCCTAGCAAAGTTAAAAAGGCTTTGAGTACAGGCTGGTGATATATACTTTATGTATGTCTGAGGACTAACCTGGCTAAAGCCTGAGAGACTCATCAGGAGCTTGGTCACAACAAGGAGATTTGGTTTTTTGCTCATAGCAATTCTTAAATATCTGTTAATTCAGAAGAGTTGTGATCTGGACCTGTAGAATGAGTTCTACATTGATGAAATAGCTTGTCCTTAAATCTAGGTACCACTAGTTCATTGGATGCCAAATTCCAGGCTGACAAGCAGAGTCCTGGGGGGGGGGGGGGAAATGGGGCAAGGACTATCTTTTGCCATGAATCTGATATGTTGTGGATAGAGAAAGGATTTTTGTGGCAGGTCCAAGATATACCTAAATTTCCATTGTCCTTGCTAGGACTCTCCAGCTCTCTGGCCCTCTCAGCTGCTGAGCCATGGCTGGATACCTTTGCTGGGATTATTTGTAGGGTCATAGTCTCTGTGTCTAGGATAAGACCCAAGCTGGAGCATGACTGAGCAAGAACCAATGGGAGCCCTTTTAGAATTGGAGTGTGAAAGACTGAAGTATTCCTATCTCTTTTTCTGGCTCAGATTTGCCCCCTATTCCCACAAAGGCTCTAGCCCCTCCTCCAGCCCCTAGTCTATGTGACTCAGGGTCACTTGTTTGGTGACAGCTGTGGCTCGCCTTACACAAGCTAAATCGGGAATTGGAATGTGACAGATTGCGTCACTGAAATGCCCCTAGTCTCCCCCATCCCCAAGTTAAAATTAGTCTCCTGCTTGAGGATTAAGGAACAAATAGCAGTGCCTAAATTGTGAGCGACAGTCGGCCATTTGGGAGCAGGAGATAAGACTATCCCAGGAGTGAGGGAGAGTCATCCGAGGTGTGAGGGCAAGACAAAGCTTTCTTCATCTGCCTGGGCACTCAGGGTAGAAAAGTAAAGAGTAAGGAACAGCTCTCCAGAAAGAGAAAATCAATTGGCTACCTAGGGGTCACAAGGTGGATTGATTAAGGGACAGAGCAGGGAGACAGAAACAACTTTAAGAAAAATCTAGGCAGGTTGTAGCAAAAAAAAAAAAGGAGGGGCAACAGCTGAAGACAGACTCACATAGCTGAGAGAATAAACCAGGGTTGGAGAAAAGGCCAAGGAGGGGTGGGCACAACCACCGAGGGGATGAACTTCGCAGTGGGTTTCAAGCCGCTGCTGGGGGATGCACACAGCATGGATAACCTGGAGAAGCAACTCATCTGCCCCATCTGCCTAGAGATGTTCTCCAAGCCAGTGGTGATCCTGCCCTGCCAACACAACCTATGCCGCAAGTGTGCCAATGACGTCTTCCAGGTGGGCTCAGAGTCTGGGGGGGGGTGATGGGAAAGGAAGAGGGCCCCATTACTAATTAAAGCATGCTATCAAAGTCGGGGCTGGAAATTGGATCCACAAGTGCCACGTACTGGGATACGCTGTTTTAGATGGACAGAAGCTGTAGGAAAGAGGTGAGATTCATGGGGGTGGGAATAGTACACGAACTGGGCAACAGCTAGCTGCTTGTGACTGACCATAGCAGAAAAGGACCTAAGGGGTCTAAGCACAAGCCATAAGACTGTTGACAATACAGGGTTTGCTTGTTTTGTAATGGTGCCTAGTAGCGTGCACAAATAGTCAAAATACCAGACAAGACAAGTACCAGATTTGTGGGTTGGGTGTTAGTATGATCTTTAAAATTGGTTGAATGACCAATCCCCAAAAGTAGTCCTTTAATAAACACATATAGTCAAGCAAAATAAATTTCCATATTGGCCCTGTCTATAAAAAAAAAGTCTACATCTGCACTCTGAATAAGTAGCATGTTTCATTAAGATCCTTCTGGAATCATGACTGGTCATCATCTTTCAAAGTTGTTTGTCTTTACAATCTTGTTGTTATTGAACCAATTGTTCTGGTTCTCACTTCCCTCTGCATCTACATACAGTTTATACATTTTCCCCCAGGTTTCTCTGAAACCATCCTTTTCATTTCTTATAGCACAAATTACATCACATTTATACATCATAACTTGTTTAGTCATTCCTCATTTGGTGGACACTCCATCACTTTCCAGTTCTTTGCCACTGCAAAAAGATCTGCTATCAATATTTCTGTATATTCTCAGCTAATGTTTGTTTTGCTTAAGACTACTCCCTTCATTCATTTATCCTCCCTTTTATTACACTCCCCCCATTTTCTCCTTTCCTTCTTGTTTCCCTGTTGAGTGAAATGCATTTCTGTACCCAACTGTGTGCATGCATTTTTCCCTCCTCTGATCAGTTCAGAACAGAGTGAGGGTCAATTGTCACTTGCTCCCCCCGACCTTGTTTGTATAGATGTCTACGTGTGCGCCCTGATGATGTGAGATTTTTCCCTTTCCCTTCCTTTTACTGACCTTCCCCTTCTTGTCCTTCTTTTAAGATAATCAAACCATAACAGAACCACTCCCAAGCACCTTGTCTAGTTAGATGCCCTCTCAGACCAGACAATGATAGGGTAAATTTGTATCATTTACTTATATTATAATGTAAATAGGTTTCCTTGTCCCTTAATGATTTGCTTGCTCATGTTTACCTTTTTCTACTTCTCTTGACTCATGTATTTGTACTTCAGGTTTCTATATAGCTCTTGTCTTTTCATCAGGAATGCTTGGAAGTCTTTTCTCATTAAATGTCCCCTCCTCCCTCCTCCCCCCCCCACCTCCTTGCAGGATTATACTAAGTTTCACTGAGTAAGTTATTCTTGGTAAATCCACTTGGCGAGTGATTATATCCTTTGCTCTCTGCTTCTTTATAATGGTGGCTGCTAAATCTTTCTGGATCCTAACTGTGGCTCCTTGGTATTTGGATTGTTTCTTTCTGGTTGATTCAAGTACTTTTTCTTTGACTTGAAAACTCTGAATTTTGGCTATAATGTTCCTAAGAGTTTTCATTTGGGAGCTTCTTTCAGGAAGTGGTCAGGGTATTCTTTTTATGTCTCTTTTGCCCTCTGCTGCTAAGAGATCTGGGCAGTTCTCTTTTATGATTTCTTGAAATATGATGTCTTGGATCTTTTGTTTGGTCATGACTTTTAGGTAGTACAATGATTCACAAATTCGCTTGATATATTTTCCAGGTATTCCATCACACTCATATCCTA